TTTATATTTATTAGCTAATGTAAAGCTGTTGCCTCTCAGTGAGAAGTTTACTGGATTAAATCTGGGCCTGGGACCTTTCTGGGTGAAGATTTGCATGTTCTCTCTGTGCATGTGTGGGTTTTCTCCGGGTACTCTGGTTCCCTCCCATAGGCCAAAAAATATGTTATATTAATTGGTAACTCCAAATGGGTGCAAATGGTTGTTTGTCTCTATGTGACCCTCTGATGTACTTATCTGTCCAGGGTAACCCTAACCCTACCTCACCCCACACACTGACTGCTGGACAAAGATACCTGATATTAACAGCTGGCTTTGCTAATTTAATCACATTGCTAGTTTAGGGATAATAACTACACTATACTGCTCTGTTACCAGAGTTATTATAGTTAACTAAAACTAACTAAATAACGAAAACTGAAACTGAAAAAACATTTTAGTTAACTGAAATAAATAAAAATGGTGATAAAATGAAAAAACGATAACTAACGTAAACTGTATAACCTTTTTTTTTTTGCAAAACTAACTAAACCTAACTGGAATTATAGATAGAATAGCCTTAGTTTTAGTGTTTGTCAATTTATCTTGAAACATGTGGATCTCTGAAAAACAAGCAGCAGGTAAGCACCAGGTTGGAGACAACTATTGTCACCATCCTAAAATAATCGCCCAAGTTTTTAGTTGGCAAAATTGAATTACACAATTATTTTAGGAAGGTGTCGCTGTAATGTCTGCTTTATAGCGACCAAATAGCTGTTGGCTAGTTAACTCACAGAAACATCACAAGCTTGAGAATGCATTGGCAAATATGTTTATTCAAACTATAAAAAAATCTAATACAAGAACTATTAAATACTAAACTAAACTAAACTGAAACTAAGCATTCAAATGCAATATTAACTAATAAAAACAATCAAATCCACTGTAAAAACTAATTAAAGCTAATTTAATTAAAAGAAAATAGTCACAACGAAATAAAAATAAACTATAATGAAAAATCCAAAACTATTATAACCTTGTCTCTTACCTCGGGTCTTTAGTATGTAGTTCATTATTGATGGCTTTCTGCCAACCAGCATACTATGCATGCGCAAAAATGCGAAAGTGCTTTCACATCATTTCAACCAAGATGCACTACCTGATCCGTACACACTGAGAAATGAACGGAAGGATGACCCAACACTGATTATTTTCATATTTGGGAGGATTTGATCCAATCTCTGGGTTTGTTCACCGGCAACTTCTAAAGGCAAATAACCCCATGTCAACAATCTGAATGGTCATGTTGCATTTCATCTGTTTAGGTCATTGAGGTACAGGTATACAGCTCAATCCAGATACTGATATTATTAATACCAACGTTATGCAGTTTAAATCTTGAAACTTGATTTTCTTCAGTTACATAGCAAAGATCTAATTGTTTTGACTTTTTTTAAACTTTCTAGATTTGTCATCTCATCCATGACTGAGAATTTAGACCAACGAATGATGCTATGCAATGGCACACCAGCAGGTTGGATCTTATCAATACTAGCATGATGGGAAACATCCTTGAGTTCATTTCACCTGTACTTTTAGTTGCTTCCATTCCAAAAGTGAAATTCTGCACCTAGCTAACCACAACTTAGCTCCTTAACTCAGTAGTTACTGAGTGGTTACTAAATTGTTTCTAAGTACGCAGTAGTTTGAGTAGTTCCTCTTTTGTGTCCTTAGTAACTACTCAGTAACTTTGTAACTACTCGGTAGTTCCTCTTTGATGTACTTATTAACTACTGAGTAACTACTCAGTAATTACTCAGTAGTTACTAAGTTGTTTCTAAGTACACATTAGTTCCTGAGTAGTTCCTCTATTAGGTATTCAGTATTTACTCAGTAACTACTCAGTAGTTACTTATTAAAGTGTTACCAAAGTTTTATTATTTGCTTCAGTGGTTTTACTGCATATATTCAGGTGATTTGAGGGATTCAGCAGTTTTTGTATAGTATGTCAAATTGAAGTACTTTAAAAAAAACAGAACCTCTGACTTGTAGATTATCTGCACAACACTGACTGTGTCTGCCAAAAACCTGCTTCACCTAAACCAAGAAAAATCTCTTTAGTTGGATAAATTATTCCATTATTAACTCACTTATCAAATTAAAGTGGGTATTTTGTGAAAAAAGCAGAAAATAATCACTTAGTTTTTTTGTGCTAAAAAGACTGTTAAATGAGTCACAAAACTGTTTTATTTGGACATCCTTTTATATCTGATAGTTTTACAGAAACCTAATGTTTTTTTGTGTTAAAGTCTAATGTATCAGTTTTATTCAGAAGGCCAGCAAGGTAGCACCACCATCACCCTATTAACCATCAGCAGTAAAACTAGCAGAAAGAAGGTAACCTGACAAGTATTTAAAAGAATCCTTCCACCACTGAAGTGATATAATGACTCTCCTTTTCCCTCTGAAGGAACACAGCCAGAGAAAATAAGCTCAACAGTGTAATTTACAGAGGCGCATAAATCAATCCTGGTGAGTCCACATATTTCTGCGAGGGGAGAATTTATATGTTTAATTACCGAGCGCAGGTGCCGAGCCCTGGCTTTACTCATTACTGTAAGATATATGAATGGCAGCGAGAGCCTGGATAGCACGGGACAAAAGGGAGGACAAAGTAATTAGCCAGTTCTTATTTAATGGGGAGCTTTCCTCGAGTCGTTCATGGCTCCCGTTGCAGCGCCTCGTCCATATGCTTTGATTCAGGAGCCATCTCATAAAGGACCACTGGTGGCAGGTAGCACAGCAGCAATTAACAGTGGCAGCGTCTGGAATTGGCAGGGATCAAATATGAAGTGTTAAACACTCGATTGTTCAGCTTTTTACCTCTCCCACAGTTCTTTGTCTCTCTGAAGGGTTTAGTGGAACACTGAGTGGGACAGGACTGCAGAAACCTTTGGACCCTAAGTGGCCTGGGCTGGTTTCAGGAATGCTTGTACTCCCATGGTTTATAAGTGCACTTAGATTGAGTTTTGGCTGTCTTGAGCCTCAGGCACTGTGTGTTGTACCTTGAAGCATCTGAACTGTGTGGGGATGCTGGTTGGACATGTCTTCCACAGCTCAGTGCCATTACACCTCAAGGACTCCAGACTCTGCTTGGTCCGACTCCAGAGTCCTCAAGGTGCCAAGCAAAGCCATGCCAAAAAAACAAATACTGACCACTGAGAGAAGAGCGCATCTGCTTTTATCACCCGCAGACTTTGATGCCAAAGTTTTAGATCAAGCTCATGTTCAAATATAAAATCAAGCTAAAGCCATTTCAACAAAACCTGGAAAAAAACATGCATTATTGCAAGCTACTACAAGTTTATAATTTATCTCAAAATCTATAAAATATATTGAGTTACAGGCATATTTGTAGTGGCTAATCTGATGAGCTATGGTAACCATCATGACTTGGATTAACTACAAACATTATGCAGTTGTAGAGGTACTGAGCGAATATTTCCTGAAAGTTTTAAACCTATCTACACTCACAGAAATGATTCATGGCATAAGTAAGTTTTATGCATTTACATTTATTTGATTTTATTTAAAAACTCATTTTTAAAATGCATGCAATAAAATTAATTATTATCTACATAATTTAATAAATTCTCAAATACATTTAAAGTAAATACTTAATACATACTAATATGGTTTAAATAATCAAAGGTGTAAGACAAACAAGATTCTGTTATTTAAAATTTATGTAATTTGTTTTCATAGAAGTTATGAAAAATGAAATGGGTGAATAGAAACTATGTTCTGCACCAGTACGTGGCGGTAATGCCCCTTTAAGTTGGCCATCAACTGCCATAAAACTTGAACAAGAAGAAGACGAAAAAGAAGCTGTCCTGCAAGCAATCCGAGACATCCTACGTTTCATTACTTCTAAATGTGTCTTAATCGTGCAGTTTAAATTATATCACATCAAAATGTATTAATTTATGTATGTAGTTTGTGATTATTTTAAACAGTTTTATTTTGGTCATGCTGCTGCACCAGACAACACTAGCCCACATTAGCATCACAGCTAACATGCTAGCTATTTAGCTAGTCTGGTAATACAGCTTTGGTAAAACAGCTTGATACTGGATGAAATTAACCCTTTGCAGTGTTTTTTTTCATGCCAGTTAAAATTACTACTAGTAATTTTAACAAGCCTGATAAGTTAGGGTTTTGGAGGGAGGGAGGGAGAGTCTGTGAATCATGAGTGAAATCTCTGTTGCAGTGTCTTAAAACTAGTTTGGTCAACGCCTAAGCTTGTTTCCCGCCTTTTGTTTGTGTTATGTGCAATTCCCTGCTCCTTAAACTAGCTGGTCATGCTTCCTTTTACAGTTAGCTTAATTTCATAGTTTCTTGTGGTGCCAATGGCATAATACTGTTAACATAGAAGTATGGATTCATTACAGTGAATTGCATCATTGATCTAAACATTTTCTCTAAAGGTTGCAGTTTGTTGAAAAATTAGTCTAGGTCAGTGATGTAATAATTTTCATTTAGTAAACTCAGCTATTCAACTACAATTAACTAAACTAAAGAAGCGGGACTCTAATGTGTTAGCTGATTTACTGCCTTTTAGAGTACTATTTTCAAATATTGGCTTGGATTACATAATTGAAAGTTAGATGTCGCTTGTCTTCTTTCCTCCTCCTGTCCTGTGTTTAATATAAGTTTAAGATGTACACATCAAAAGGAGGTTCTCCAGGAGCCAGTATTTCCAGAGTTCCAAAACAAATGGCCAGCTCTCTTTGATGTCCGTGAGCTAAGTGTGAATCTGAAGTGTCGTAATTTGGTCTATCGATGATCTTTTTACAAACTGTGAAAATATGTATTCTCTCTAAGTTGTCTTTTACAGATCAAATTGATTTTATGCGACTTAGAACTGTACCTGTGACCTCCAAATTCCATGGAGAAATGGACCATCAGACAGACAGCCTGATCATCAGACAGACAACCCGATCAAGGTTTCAATGCCAAAGGTGGAACTGCAGGAAGAAAGACCATCAACATAATGGCCTCAATGGACAACGTAAGTTATTTTTTTCCTGAAAAGCATATGGTTTGTGCGACTCAGCTCTATGTTTTCAAAATTACTGTTTTCTAAAGGGGTTTGGACTTCTGTGAGCTTTACCTGAGTGGGTAAAGCAAGGTGATGGGTTGGTCAAGTATGGAAATGTCAGTAACTTTGTTAGCTTCAGCATCTGTACATGTGTGTCTCTGACAATGAAAAAGCATGAATCATTTGATTTGTTTGTTTGTTTTTCAGAATGAAGATAACATGAGTCGTGGTTGTGTGCTGAGCTGTCTGAGCAACTACTTTAATGAAGACCTGTACACACTGGTTAAAGAATACATGGTATGTCAATCTATTGTCCTTTGTGCCAGATGTGCCTGAAAACATGGTGTTCATGAGAATGAGATAGACATGAGGACACATTGACCTTGACCACCAATGGTCAAGGACTCATCATTGAGTCCGATGGGTTGTTAGTTTAGAATGGGAAATTCCCACAAGGCAAATGCTGGTAGTGCTGTCACTTTGTAGGATCTAAGTCCATTTGGTCCAGAGGAGCCTGAGGATAAAGTTGGCCGGGTCCTGACACCTAAATGCCCTCACCATGCCAGGGATGACAGTTCTCACCAAAACAACAAGATGACGACACAAACACTTCATAGTGTCATGAACACTTGTATGCAGTGCTTTTAAGAAATGTCTTCAAAGTAACACTCAGTTGGCCTAAGGATGAGTTGCTTGGAACTTGGTGGTCAAGTTTAAGGTCATACAGCTAATTATTTTGTTCTCTCCATATTCCAGGACACTGAATCCAGAGAGGCAGAGGCAGACATTGCAGAGAAGACCATGGGTATCTACACTATCTGAGCAGAAGGTCGTGGTGCTGATGGTCCAAGTAATGGAAGCTTTGCTGATGTTGTTGTGCTGGAAGGCATGGATGTTCTCCATAGCCTGCAGTGTGTCAGCCATGCATGTGTAATGCTTTATGGACTGATACATGGACTCAACTTGAGCTGTCCAAAAAGCCTGAAGCACACATTTGAGGTGTACCAGAAAATCTTGCTGGATCTGGACTAATCAGACAGGATCTTGTGTTTAAATGATCCCTCATGTTTCAGGGAAATACCTGTTTGATACATTTGTACTTGTAATGGTGTTTTTTTTTTCTTTAGGTGTTGATGTGTGAGTGTGACTGTGTATCTGGATTCATAGATGGGTAGTTTCTAAAGTGTGTTAGCTGGCAGTGTTGTGGTGACGCAGTTCAAACCAGATTTTTCTTGAATTGTTTCCAGATGATTCAATGAGAGCTAGTTCAGTATTTAAAAGATATTTGTTCTAAAAAAAAGTGACTCAGTTCCCTACCAAAGCTACTCGGGTGAAGACGTTTTTTTTTTCTAATATTGAAGGAAAAGTATGACAAAAACAGGACATAGGGTCTTGTTGTGAATGTACACAAGTCAAACTTTTGTATAAATACATAATTATGACTGAAGCGTCATTTTGATATTGTGTAATTTTGTGTCTTTAATATGAGTAATTAATGTTTAATAAAGATGTTGAATCAACAAGATCTGATTGTATCATTAAGATTGTTGGTATACTGAATGGAAAGGAATTGCATAAATGTTATGAATTTTGATTAATTTGGTTTATTAAATAACTATAAATGACATGCAATTCAAATAAATATGTGGTATTTATTTTGTATAGGTAACCTAAATACTATGCAATTCAAACAATATACTTTATGTATTTGAAATAAATAGACTCAATATTATTCATTTAGAGTAATTATATTTTATAAAATCTGAATACATAAACCTGAGGATTATGCATTTATGATAAATAGACTTTATTACTTGAATGAATTTGTATCATGTAAGGTTTATTTGGTAGATTTGTGTTAAAATTAACTAAAAAAGTCAATGGGAATTTGTCATGTAATAAATTACATAAATCTTAAAAATTAGGGTTAAATATTTCTGAGTGTAGCGGTTCATGAGCTATTTTGCTAACAAACAGATAAAGTTGACGCCAAAGTGTTGATCACATTTTGAAGAAAGTTCATATACTATCTGTTGCACAACAGTTGTGTATCAATCTCATCGAATTTTTGATTGGCTGTAAAATTGACTAAGCTTTTCTTATCTGTGATTCAATGTTTGTCGACCATGACAGGCATCTTGAATTGGGTTTATCTCTGCAGGAAAACAGCTGTAGATGTGCATCCAATGATTACTTTCTGTAAGTTTTATTAAAATTCATCCAGTGGTCAGTGAGATTTTTTGATGACAGACCATTGTATAGACCAGGGCTATTCAACTGGCAGCCCGTGGGCCACATTCGACCTGCGAGTGACCAAAGTTCGGCCCGCCAATTGGTTCATTCATCTCTTAAGCCCAAACCCCCGGTTTTCTACTTTAATTACTCTATGGCTACGTTCACACTGCAGGTCTTAATGCTCAGTTCCGATTTTTTGAAAAAATCTGATCTTTTTGTGTGAACGTTCACATTACATTTTAAATGTGACCTGCATCAGACCCCTGTGTGAACGCTACACAGCACTGATGTGACACGCATGCGCAGTAAAAGACGTGACGTCTCATCAGCCGGCTTGTTTGTTTACAGAGCTAGCATGGACGCTACATTTTGCGCATCGAATCGGAAGTTGTTGTTTAATCAGAGCCGATTAAATTATTATCTGACCTGCTTCTTTAGTCAGTGTTTATATCTGAAGCTGCCTCTGACCGGGATGCTCCAGTGAAGCTTTTTTTTTTTTGAATGAAACTACGAGCTGGAAAAAAGTATCGACCAAGTATCGAACTTTAGGATCGATACTCTCCGCGACCCAGGCTGGACATTGTTATTATCATACTATCTACGTGGAAAATGAAAAGTAAAAAGATGAAGCAACTGGACTTGTGATTTGGAGCTGTAAACACACGGAGCTACAGATTTAAACAGCGAGACTTGAGGTTAGTGTCTTTATCGATCCTTCACCCCCTCCTCCTGATGAAAAAGTCAGATGAATGTGACATGAGCGTTCACACTGCAGTCACTTTGAAAACATCAGATATATATCCGATTTAAAACTACATACTGAAACGGCCTGGGTCAGATTTGAAAAAATCGGATTTGTCGCGTTCAGACTGTCATAAAAAAATCGGATATGAGTCAGATGGGCCCAAATAATCGGATTTGGGTCGGATTTGCCTGCAGTGTGAACGTAGCCTAAGTTCTTTTAGTTTAACATAGACATGATTGGTATCTACAGAAACGCCAGAATCTTGGCTAGAAGCTGGTGAAAACCATTTCTATGAAGACTCAAGACAGTTAAAACTACAAGCAGTTGAAGATAAAATGAAGAAAGTGAAAATAAAATTGGTTTAAAATTTTGGCAAGACAGAGATGTCAAAATATTTGTATCTAATAATAGGAGGCATAATGTGTTCTTTTTGTTTTTGATGATGTGTAATCGTCACTATTATAGGGTTCTGTATGTTGTATTCATGATTAAATGCAACAAAATAAACAAATTCAAAGGTAACAGATCTTTGTAATACTTGGTTTATTTACATAATAACTTTAATTGCTGGGTGTTCGGCCCCTCAGCTGTTGACCGGCAGTAACTGTGGCCCCCGGAGCAATTTAGTTGAATAGCCCTGGTATAGACCATTAATAACCTAAGTTTTAAACAAAAGCATTGTACAATGTAAATGTAATACAAACATCTGGATTATGCTACCACACCTAATGGTGGAGTTATTGCCATTTTTATGTTGGCTAATGTCGATTAGCTGTGTTGGCCATCTTAATTTGGACTGACTCCAAAAGGTGATTAGCTACTTTATGAAAGATATATTAAGAAATATTTATATGTTTGTGTTAGTTTTTAAAGAGCAGATCTGAACACATGCACACACCCACATATAAATACTTACTGATATAGTGCATGCACATTCATTGTCACCCTTTCAGCTTCAGTAGTGGGTGATGACTAGATGCTGGCAGAACACCAGCACAACAGCAATACACTGAACATTAACGCAAGATGAAAATAAGCTTGATTTAAAAGCAAAACGGGACCTTTTCCTGGTTGAAACCTGAACTTCTCGTCCCCCACCTCTGAGCAGGAGATGGGACCAACCCCCAGAGAACAGACTCATTTCCAGCCTGTTGGAAAAAGACGGTCCATCCAGCCCGGAGGCGTTGTTTGGCCAGCTCTAAACCAGGGGAACCCTCACTGGACGCCACTTGGCTGTTCCTGAAACCTCGTGCACTCTCCGTGCACTCTCCGTCTGGCCACAGGCTTGTAGCTATTGGCAAGCCCCGTGCTCCATGTTCTCTGGCAGCTGCCCACTCTGGAGTTCATAGCTTTTGACCCGCATGTTGAGAGCATCGTTTGGCTCTCTCTGAGCCATATAAACATTAGAGAGTGTAGCCGAGGGCAGTTTGGCCGGAGCAGCCGTGTTTAATGGGCTGACACTGGTTGAGTTAAAACACCTGATGTTCACAATCTGTTGGAGAGCCACTTAACTTCCTGTCCTTTGGCAGTCAGACCCTGTCAGACTGCATGTGGGCAGCTCTGAAATATCACCACTTCTTACTTAATAAACATAAACAGGCAGGAAAATTACACGTGCACAAGTTGATACAAACAAAGATAAAAAAATTTAAAGTCTGTGTTTTTCTGTCACTAACAACATTTATTTGGGTTTTATTAGCCAAAAATGTACATTTAACACAGGGGCTTGTTTGCTGTTTTTTGTTTGTACGGACATGATGGATCTGAAGTATGGAAGTAAATCTCTCACCATATTTGAATA